ATTTGCCAAGTGGGAGAACAAAATCCACACATCTGGGCAGGAATTCAGTCCATCACTATTCAGGAGAGCACATAAGCATATGCTTATCTTTAAGGGATTAAGCACATGCTTGAAGTTAATCATGCTTAATAGCCAACTTAAATGGGAATGAGTTGAACACATGTTAAACTGCTGTCCTGAAACTGGGCCTAGATCGATAGCACTCTAAGAGCAGACTACCTAATTATACTGTGGAAACAATATAAACAGCGTCCACTTTGTTTTAATAAATGCCAGCCTCATTGTTCTACCATTTTTAGAAAAATGGAGTGTTCATTCATGTAATTTTGGTTCAAACCATCCACGGTCCAGATTCCACATTCCTGTATGGAAGTATTTCAAGCGTTTCAAGTGTGAAATCTCAACGTGCCTGCCTGCTTCAAGCAGCAGATGGCACATCTGCATGTCACGAGGGCCTTGTCTACACTAGGGAATTGTAGAAGATGACTTGCCCTCGTTTAGTTGCACTAGAAACACCAGTGAAGACAAGGTACAACAGCTGCTGACCCTTTTTGGACCAGCAGGTTAATCGTGACCGTTAAGACACTGGAAGTGCCGAGCACTGTCTGAACAAAAGCTTCCTCTGTTGCAAACACCAGTGCAACTGCACTGATGGGAATTCTCCCAGATTTCCTGTTGGAAGGAAGGCCCCAATGCCACTAACGCCTGGGCTGCTCTTATGCATTTGCACCACTTAAAAATGGTGCTTCTGATAAACTTCACCCACCCCTTGTGCTACAGATCTCCATATGGTTCACTAAACCTGGCTAGGAATCCACTCCATTTTATAAGCCTGGGGGGTGGGGGTGGGAAAGGGAGCAGAGGCAAATTTCTGTTAGAAGGCCTTGCCCAAGATTATGAAGCTAGAGAATAAAACATAGATCTACTAAGCTGTACCCATGTGCTCAATCAAATAAGTCAAAACTCTCCCCTTTTGCTGCAAAATCTTACATTACTGCCACCCTGAAATAAAACCTTCTCAGGTACAGTCTTGTGATCAAGTTGCAGAATACCACTCTCTCTTTAGACTACTCAGAAGCCAGAGCACAGCTCAAGCCCCCCAGAGAGAAGGGATATACAGCTAAAACAGATGGTAAAGCACAGTGCTTACCAGAAGGTATGTGCACACCATCTGCTGGTGAGGTGGTTTAGTGCTTCCAAAGTTTCCCTAAGGAGCCCTTCTTCTTCTCCAGTTAAACACACAGAGACCCAGATGTAAAAAAACCCTACTATATGGTGCTTATCTCAAGGGAATAGCCCCCTTTCCAGAAAGATTTCCTATTTGCAAGGCAGCATGAGATCAAGTCAGATCTGAATAGTTGAAGGCTTGCATACGGTTCGCTTTCCAAATTTATGATGTCAAAAATACTCCGTGTTAGGTCTCCTACTTCCCTTGACTTGATCTCTACCAAAACATTCAGAGAGGTGCTGCTCCTGTAAGCCCAAACAATGAACGAGCATGGAAGATCCTTGATGATTATTTCTGGAAATGAAAACCCAATTCCACCTCCTTTTGTCTGTGGACACAAGCTGCGGGCAGGTTTTCAGGGCAAGGTCCTTAGTCAAGCAACTACGGAAACTGGCTCGTCTTTCCTCTGTTAAGGAAAAAGCCATTGCTTCACATAAATCCTGCAGGTGCAGGAACCAATTTACTCAAAAGTCTGAACAACAGAACAGCAAAGGAAACAGCAGAGGAAGAGGAAATCAGGCTTAATGTTGAATTCTTTCCCTGGAGGCCGTTTTTAGAAAGTGATAGCTACAGTTAGGACAGTTGCCCACATAAAGGAAAGATTAGCCTTGCACTAACATAAGTACCTGCTACTAATGTGTTTTCAGTTGTTCTGAAGCTAGCAGTTAAAACTAGCTTGTATCTTCTACTAATGCTCGATCAGCCTGTTCACTCAGGACAGGCAAGTTACCAATGAGCTGACTATCAGCCCACTGTGTTTCAAGCAGAATTATGACTTCAAGCAAATCAGGGTAGCATATAGCTACCTGTCTACCACTACCTCTAACACAGACAGAGATCGAGACCAAGACTTTAAGGGCAAGTGGATGCAGAGGAATTGGTCATTTCTCTATACAACTGCCTACCTGCATCCCCATGGAATATATGAATGTATGCAGAAAATATTTTACCTTGTGTCAAGCACTGACAACTGATCCTATCAATATGCTCCAAATTTAGTACCAGTCTGTCAACGTTGCTTACTTGGACAACACATATGGTACCTTTTCTAGTCTTCCATATTGTTTTTTGTGTAGAGGTTTCTTCAGTTGATAATGTTCACATTATACTAGGAAAAAAGTCACCACTGAAAGAGTACCCAAGTTTTTGCAATCATCAGTTTGTAACGAACACCCCTGCGTCTGAACGACAATGAAACAATACAAAGACCCCGTATCCTAGACAGATGCATCCAAACGCGGTAATATCAAACCTCAATCAAATTTGGCTTTCTCCAGGGTGGAAGGACTAGCACTTCACCTGCGATGCTTTTTGTACCAAGAATATTAGAGTTTCTGCCAGCAAACCTAAAACAAAACACAAAACTTGGCATATCAAGCACTGCTAGATAAAAAAGGACTAATAGAGGCTGGTATCTGTGTGTTGGTGAAAAGGAACAGCAATTACTGAGTACCTGAGGAAACTTTCATTACAGTTACCCTGTAAGCAAAGTCCCTTACCTGCTCTCAGGCAAAAACATATCAAACCAGCTTTAAAAAATGGATGCGTGAAACTAGCCAGCTAGACCACAAGAACACTAAAAAACAGACTGACCGCTTCCTGAAACTAGATTAGAATGATTCACATCAGAAAAGACTAATGATCATGCTGCATTAGCCTAGATTATTAAGTTTAAGATAATCATGGATCAAGATACCATCCCCTTTTGTTTATCCAAGTGTGGTTCAGCTCATTATTACTGTTACACCAAGGACCAAACATGCTGGTTGTCACTGTACGCCACAATTAGGCAATTAAAAAAAGATGGTTCTTCAATGGCTGCACCACATTTCTCCCTATACACCCTAATACTGTATTCCTAGGTTTCCAGTGCAGTTTGTCAAAACATGTTGCCATTCTTGCATTGATATACATTGTGGGCCCCTTAATCATTAATGACTCAGTTGCGCTATCCTGTATGAAATGGTATAGTGGTTTTAATAGATGGAAAGAGTCCAAGTGGGCCTCATAGACCAATTTTAATACATCATGCTCCTGAAAGGAAGTTATTTCTGCCGAAAACCCCAACTCGTGTTTGTTTGTTTTTTGCATCAACCACTTTGCAGCTGGAAGTCTTAGAAATTATCTATTCACTCAATTAGAGATGCAAGTCAGGTAGACACATAATCAAATCCAGCACCTGCAGTGTCCAGGCACTAAATCCCCAAGCTTAGCCAAAAGCTTGTCCCTAAGACTGGGATAACCATGTGTAATGTGACCTAAATTAGGACTGGATGCACTTCAACTGTGAAATGCTGACCTATGCATCCAGCATCTGACCTAAATTAAGGAAACAGACCTTACCTGATTTTCATCTTAGTTCTTTTCATGTGATTGAAGCGCTCCTGAAAAGGCATCCAGTTACACAATCCTGGATGCCCTCTAGACAGGGCATATAACAGAGACAATGGCAGTGCAGTTTTCCCCACAGTATGCCACCAATGTTCCTCAACTTTGTTATGGGGAATCATTTTGAGCTCTGCTTATTACCCTGACTATGGGTACGCTGGTTCTTGGCTTTTTCTGTGCCGACAGAGCACTGGTTTGTGAGGAGACCACTGTCCAATGAGACCCACCAAGCAATCATCGTATGGTAACAGTTTTCAGTAACTATTAATCTGGGCTAGCTTTGTATTGGCAGGTTAAAGGTTTTGCGTGTCACTACAAATTCCTTCAAACACCCAGTTCCACCTTTTAAGGGTCAAGGAACATCTTATCTTGAAGCAAGACCCAATAAGTCTCATATCATTGGTTTCAGGTGTATAACATGCAGAGGGCGATTGATGGGTTTTTTTGAACCAGTTGCATGCTACTTGTTTGCTGTAAGAAAGAAAGTCAGAAAACAGAAGTGTGACCTCAGTACAAAGCAGTGTACTTAAGAATGGATTTGTGTGTATATCATAGGCAGTTTATCCAGTTAGTTCACCTACAGCACTGCGGTTCCTAATATCAGGGCTTTATTAAATCATTCAGCAACCGAGTGTTATTGTCCTACATAGCCTGCTTAAAGTACAATAGGCATGTTTAAAGGATTTTAAAATCAACTAGTTTTGACACAGGACAGTACACACCTTGGCATGCTTCTGGTATTAACAAGATTCTGAAGTGTAAATAATAATCCTGCGATTCATTTTTCACACACAAGCAGCTATAAAGAGTCAAAATATTACTCAGACTTATTAGCATCCATCAAGCAAACTTTTTAGGGCAATTAAAAGTAATGGCAATTTAAAAATCAACTACAATTCATAACAAGTGCAGAGAAACAGGAACAATCCTATAACTGACTATTCCTGAAACATGGCTCCGGGGACTCAAATGTTGAGCTGGGCATTTTTCTCCCTCTTCTGTTACAATGAAGAAATAATCTGGATGAAGCCTAGGATTTTATCATCATCTACAGTAGTCAGGAGCACTGTTGGAGAGAGACTCTGACTTCTGTGCACTGAGTGGCTGGCACGGGCTCCAACCACCGTTAGTTAAAGCACCCAGACACGATATAGTTAACTTTGAGAAGGACTTTAAAAGAAGGTGGGTCTGGTAGAGTCTATTGGCTGCAAAGGGATTTTAATAACGTGAGGAGCTGGCAGAGTTATACAGTCTTAAATCAGAACCTTCTTTAGCAAGTCTGGCGGAGGCAGAAGGGAGGGCTTCGCAGTTTGCAACGAAGGACTATCACAGTACACACTATGGCCATCACCTACCCATTCTCCTGTTCTCCCAGGGCACCTACCTTACTGTACGTCACTACTGACAAGTTGTTCGAGTGACTGCTGGGGGAGAGATTTACAGAGTTTTGTGACAGTCCGTTCTGATCTTGTTCGATTTGGTCAGGAGCAGGCCCCCACGTGTTTTTGCTGATTGTGCCTAACTCGGAACCCCCAGGGTCTTTTAGGTTGTTGTCATCTGGTTGCCTGTTCTTCTGTGGTGAGGCGAACGGGTTAAAGTTTCCTTCTACCTTGCGATGTGGTTGTGTGTTGAACTCTGTTTCGAAGGATGACAGCTGCTGCGTTACTCCTAGAAGTCCTCCAACTTCCACACTGAGGATCACCCAGATGACATCTGGAAAAAGTGAAGGACACTTTGGTCAACACTAGCTACAATTTACAGGGAACAGAGATTCTTCTTCTGCTACTTGTACCATAACATTCTGCCCTTGCACAGCACCTTCCAGCTAACCTTTCAGCCAACGTGAGTGCCGCAATTGGCCCGGACAACCTCTGCATAGCTCGCAGCAGATCAGGGAGGAGACAGGCTGCACAGCAGGAGATAGGGCAGGAAGCATAAAGGCAGAGCAGAGCAGAGCAGAAGAAGGGGATTGAAGTCGCACTCCGGGACAGTGCGGGGCCAACCTTTCTGGAAGACGTGCTGCAGTTTCAGTCAATCATTTTAAAGGCTTAACTGTTGTCTGTAAAGCACTAACATTGCCAAGGCAGCAGCAAGTATTCTTCTTACCAAACTCCTCAGCATGGCTGCCTAGCACTAAAACAACAAATCCCAGGAAGACACATATTTCAGCTGGGTTCAGACAAATCTGAAACAATAAGGGAGCATAAATGACTTGCCTAAGACCACATAGCACTGCTGAGGGAAAGATGCAAACAAAACCCAAGAGGCTCTACTCCCAGTCCTCTGCTCTTATGCTGCAAACCATGCCAGGGTCTGTTATATGAGTCATAAGTTACTACTCAATAGTTCAGCATAGCTGTGTCTATAATAACGCATCTCACCGATTTCTAATTTCCAGCTCTAAATATCAGCAATAGGCTGAGGCAAACTACTTTTGGCGGCTCACCACATTTTCTCCTATTTCATGCAACATTATGGTGAAAATTGAAATAAAATGTTCAGAAACTCTTAGTGGTCCAGTACAGAATGAAACTGTCCCCTGCACAAAGGTACTATTTATGTATTACTGTTAAACTTTCGTTTATACCAATATACATACAGAATACCTAGTTTCCATAAATTAGCTTTCTGACTTGTACATCTACATTCTCAATGTTGTATTAGGAGCTTTTTGCATTAAAATTTCCTTGCTTCTTTTCTTTAAGGCGGCAAAGCAGCTACCTTATGGCATCTCAAAAAGACCGATAAATGAACCTAGCATGTTACATGGAGTTCAGCACCTGGTTTTCCTTCAGCTACTTGATCACAGCATGCGAGCAAGCTAAAGCAGTGGTTCTCAACCTTTTTTGTACCGGGACCCATTTGTAAACGTTGATGGCCAATCCCGTTTAATAGTTTAAGTAGAAAACAGCCCCCCAGCCCTTCCAGTGCCCCTCACTCCCAACCCACTGCCGCCCGCCCCCAACTCCCCAGTGTGTGGGGTTGGGGATGGGTACGTGGGGCATAAGGGGCCCCCAAGCAGCCCCTTGCAGGCTGGCGCCCTGCCAACCTGCAAGGGAAAAGCCACGGTTTCCCCACATTTTTCTCCTTTCAAGATTAATCCATTTTAAAAAGTTTGCTCACTACCCTTCCATACAGTCTTGTGACCCACTTTTGGATCATCACCCACGGGCTGAGAAATGCTGGGCTAGAGGAAGAAGACAGCAGGCTTCTTTGCAGTTCAGTCTGGTCATTATTGCTTCTTTTTACATTCAATCATGTAGTTGGCAGGGTTTAGCTGTGTTTAATTTACAAAACAATTACAAAGTGGGATTCACATATAGCACCTTGCCTTCCGATTTCCCAATTAGCCATCTTAGTTGCACATAACAAATGTATGGCTGGTTAAACACCCAAATACCCAGCTGATGTTCAAATCCCTCTAAGAAACAACAGTAAGGACTCCAAAAAGGCAGAGCCAATTAGACTAAACCCAGCCCAGTCCCATAATGCAATGACATTTACAGAAGACTCTTTTTGGCTCGCTAACAGTCAGCAGCGTTCAACAAGGGGGCTTGGCAAGCTGGGAGGCAGTGCCATCTGCTGTTACAGTACAGCAACTAACTCCTCACCTTCTACCCGAGGACATCAATAGCATTAAGAGTGGCAACTCGGCAAATCTTCCATGTCGGTTGTAGCTGTGTTGATCTAAGGACATAGGCAGACCAGGTTCTTTGGGTAGATGCGATCTCTTTCACTAGATCAACTAAAATAGTTGGAAAAATTCTTCTTTGCAAGTTTTCGGGTACAAACACTCTTCCTCTGCCTGAAGAAAGGTGTTTGTACCCGAAAGCTTGCAAAGAATTTTTCCAACTATTTTAGTTGGTCTAATAAAAAGAGATCAGGTTTACCCAAAGAACCCTGTCCGCAACTCAGCAAAGGCCAGAGAGATTTCTACAGGGGAGTTTCCTCCCCTGTTTAAAAGGGGACTGCTACATTTGGGTGTTTAAACAGCTTCTGATTATTCCCAGCCAAAAACCTGTTCAGACTGAAAAAATGCTATAAGTACTTGAAAAGAATCACTTGCTTTACCTTACCTGCCAAGCCCAGGGTTTAGCCATTTGACCTGAAACAACTGACGAAATTGTTACTCCCTAGCACAGCTGCTCCTTCCCCTTCCTGCTGTGATTTCGCTGGTGCTTGCACTGAATCTTGAAATCAGAGCCCAACAGGTCAGGGAAGGAGGAAGAAGTTTCTTCCCCTGCTAACATTTGTTTTAAGGTGAGTAATTTCTCTAATTCTTCACATTGTTATGCTCCCTTTCAGAAGTTTCAAAGGGGGGCAAAAGCCATGTCTCTGCTTCTCCAAATATCAATGGAGAAGCTACATTTTATACTTTATACACAGAAGCCAGGGCACTAATTTGTTTGGTTTCTTTTAAGTATCCGGGATATTTTCTCTAAGTGTGCCAAACAGCCAGGCCTTCACAAAATTCACCACTGACTTGATCTCCATCATACAGGAATTACTGGGTGATGGATCTGTCCTGTGCTGTTTTGCAATAGGACCAACTAGTCTGCCTCACCCCTTTGGGCCTTAAAGTCTATTAATTTTAAACAAGAAGCATGTATTATCCAACTGGCTCAAGGTTCACCTATGGAAAAAAATATATATAATATGTCTTGACCATCCTGCTGCAATAGTAAGGCAAGGGAGTTTCTACTAACGAGCTGAAGGGGATGTGAAAGATTTTGTCACTAACTAAGTTCCAAGGAACTTACAACTAAACATTAATCCTGAGGTTTATTATTTCCAGAGAAGTAAAATCTTGACCTTTTCTGAAACACTCCTATGGGAAAGGAGATAATACTCATGAACTTTTAATCACCTCAACTTGTGTCATTTCCCTAGTACAGGAGACATAAGGCAGTATTTACTAGGGCTGTGCAAAATGGGCCCTATTTGATTTGGATTTGGCCCAAATCGGGGACAGTGATTGGATTTGTTGATTGAACTTCCGGTTCACCTCCGGATCGCGCACTGGGGGGCCCCACCACGCTCCCCCGACTCAGCGATTGTGTAAGAGAGACTGAATGATCCAAACTAGATTTGAAAACATTGGTGTTCAGTGGCTTGGTGTCAGGGGAATTAGGGGACAGACCACTTTAGACCAGCACGAGCTGGGGAGCTTGAAAAAATAACACATTTTGTTCTGGGAATGAAGACAAGCATGTCATGTTATTGTAAATGCATGCCTCTAGTCTACCTATGGGGACTTTTTACCATCTTGTACCATCTATACTTTTCCCAGAGCCTGATGAAAGGACTTTGGATCCTGAAAGCTTGCAGAAAAGGACAATTTTCTTGCGATTTCCCAGTTGGTCTAATAAAGGGTATCATTTTGGAACCAAGAGTTCTAGTTTTTTGTATGCCTCCAGTTTATACTCAAGTAGCTCCAAATGACTCGAGGAAGCCACTTTGAGTCTTTGCCAGGCTCTGACAGGAGGATTTCTTTAATAGTGGAGTAGGGAATACTATAGCATGGCAATTGTACCCCCTCAATGCATAAAACCCTGAGAGGTAGTCACCACGAGCTACTCCACTCATTTCTAGAAAGACACCCCTAGTGAAAATAGACACCACCAAGTCTAAAGGGGAAGAGATTATGTGAGTGGGGACCTCAATATTATCATCTATTAGAAGTCACCTGAAAGGAAGCTTCCTTTCCATGCCCTAGACTCGGAAATGACAAGAGGATGCTTTTACAAATAAAATTACTCCCACATTCCAAGCAGTAGCAATTTTATGACCAACTACACTTGTAGTTATGCAAGTTATGAATAATCAAATCTCATGCTTCAGGGAGTCAGCTAATCATGCCAACAGATCAGGAAGAAATTCCACATATCCAAAGTATACAGCAATAAACTGATTATCCATTATGAGGGTGTCGTCTTTCCTCAGGACTAATACTCTGCTTCGAAAGATATCACTTGGTACAGCAAAACCTACGGTTTGAACCGAGGAACAAAAATACCAGACAGAGCAATAGAAGGGTTAAGGAAATTTAAAATCCTTTTGAACACTTCACTTCCAAATGAGCCTTAAAAATAAGAGGTGTACACCCTTATACAGTCCTGCAACAAAGGCAGGCCTTCTGAACTGAAACCAAAATAGAGAAAGTTATAACTCATCCCTGCAACGAGAGCATATCCTTTTCCAAAATAATTTGAGGAGGCTTGTATCTGCTAACAGCTCTGTTCAAGAAGCATGGAGTTATGTGCATGAATAATTATTTTATTCCCTGGTGGTAATATTTCTCATTTGACCCCCATGTTGTCAGGGCTCTCCCAACTGCCAAAAAACGATGAAAGTCTTGTTAACAATATTCTCACTAACCGTTAGTGCCAATAAAGGTTAGCTTCAAGTCTCCAAGGAATGAAATGTCCTGTAAAAGATGCTAGTGGGTTATTTATTATTTAAATTCGGGTAGTGCTAAAATATCCCGGGGGCTTTCTAAATACTAAGTCATATACTTTTCTACAACTAGGCACATGAAGTTAGGGCTGATCTACACTGAATTTTTACCAGGGGTGACGCATAGGGGGTGCACGCAGGTGCATGCACACCCCCTGAGCGTGGTGGTGCACCCCCTACTAAAAGGCACCACTGGCGGCATCTGTGGGTGGTCACCAACAGCAGTGTCTGTGGGAGCTCCCGTTTACTACCGTCGCTGTGCCCCACAAGCCATCGGGGGCACACATCATTCATGATTTTTACCATTATGACTAACTACGGATTGGCTGGGATTTCACCCAGGGCTTGAACATTGATATCAGTGATTTGTACTGTAAAATAGTCTCCTTCCATGACGTGAAATGCTGTACCATACAGAAGCACTTCTATAACAATAACATGGTGTGCACGGTACAGGGCTTGTATTTGCTTTAAGTAAGCCACTATCAGGAACGCAGTACACAACTTTCTAGCTTAGACAAGCCAAATTAGGCTCCAAAGTCCATATCTGGGTACTTAAAATAGGTAGCCTGGTTTTTCAATAATATTCAGTACCAATCAGCTTTAAGTTTGAAAAGAAAACAACAAGGACTTTTACTAGACTCTAAGTCTCTCTCTCAGTGAAACTGGCAGAAGGTTCTTTGCTCCAATCTTTTAGAAATGCACTGGACAAAGCCCTGAACTGAAAAAAAAAAATTAGAGAATAACCCTGAGCTAACCTCAAAGGAACGTGCATAACAGATAGAAAAGATGCATCTAGTCACTCAGAAGCGGCAGGGCTGCGTTATCCTACTGTTCTACTTTTCATATGAGTTAGTCGATACAAATTTTACGTGCTTCAGAATTAACGGGATGGTCACTGGCTGACCGGGATGGTTTTGAAGTCAGCACCTACAGAACACAAACCAAGGGCCTCCACAATCAAATGGCCACTGCTCTTCACACACTGCCAGAGGGTAGCATTGTTCTGACAGCCGCTGCAATAAAGCACACAGGAATAAAATGTACTATCCAATCTGATCATCATTTGGATATCAGAAAAGCATCAGGGCTGCAAGCAAATATCTAAACAGCAGCGACAAAATAATGAAGAACCTACCTTGCACATTGTGGGAACATTACAAATAAGAGCCTGAACAGCAAGGAAAGGGATCACTTACCTCCATAATACAGTCCTGTGGCAGTGCACATGCGCCACTGTCCCTGATACATTCCGGCTGCACTGGGGCTGCACATCTGAACGCTGACATCTGCAATCTCCTGGGGCTCTAGCGACCTGACCATCACCATGTTTACGTGGCCAAACTGGTCTCCCCCGACGTACTTTAGACAAACCCCTGGTGGCCACGCCTCTGTCCCTGGGTTTGAGCAGAAGATGGTGTTAGGTGTCAGCGACGAAATGATTAAAGAAGCCTTGTATTATTTACTTTGGAAGGACGATCAACTACAGTTAAACAATGCTGTGCTGTGCTGCCCTGCGAACAGTCGAGGAGACACCAAGCTGTGTAAGGCTATGGACAGAGGTAACTTTAACTTTGCAAAACAAAGGAGCATGCATAGGCTATTATAACATAAGCTGTTACCACTGCATATTTCCATAGTGGTACAAACTAACTAAACCACTTTAAATAACCCCATCTCACTGCAACAGTTTTGCTAGACTTGTATTCCCACAGGCAGGCACATATAACAGTTATCACAACAGGGAATCATTTGACCCCAGTACAATTGTTACATCTGTCTATATTATAACAGACAACGGCTGAGCTGGGGTCCCACACAAACAGCCAGGGGTGACGGGAGAGGAGGAACAGACCAGGTTTTCATTCAAAATATCACTGTTCCATCACATGGCCAACTGAAAGGAAAAACGCACAGAACAATAAATCCTTTAAAACCAGGAAACAGTTACAGTTTAACAGAGGCAAACAGCCCTCAATATATTAGTGGGGCACCTGTGATGCAATTCTTGTCCATTTTAGCTACGTTGAAGACATGCTGCACTCATCTGGCCTAGTTTTTCCCCCTCTACCTCTTCTCAGAACTTCAATGATGTTATTAATAGGAAACATTTTCCTCCTGGGAGTCTTGCTCCTTTCTCTGTTTGTTGGCAGCTTCAGGGGGAGCCAACAGTTTTGTACTCCCCGTTTATGAACACGAGGGTAATTTTCTGCATTGTTGTGTTTCTTCTTTCTGCTTCAAATTGCCTTCCCAGCCTTGTACATGTGTGGACTGAACTCCAAACACAATCTTGCAGAGATCCAAGTTTAGCCTGCAGTACCAGGGACTGACAATGCAGCATGAAGAGATGTAGTGTGTTCCTGGGGACAGCTGCAGTGGGGAAAACAGCAGCTTCAGGAAGGAGTCAGAGACAAGTGTGAGCAGACAAAGGGGGAAAAAAAGTGTTTCTGGAACATCTGGCAGAGTTTGAAAGCGTCTTCAGAAAAGGTTTCTGGGGCGCCACTGCTCTTCAAACCTTTTCTGATGATATAATATGAACCAGAACGATTAAATTTGGTTTCTCGACTGCTGGGAATGCATTCGCTATGGTTGAAAATGACAGAAGCATTTTAGGAAAATCTGTGGCTGCAGAGGACCACGGACTTATTGTAAGCCTATTCCGAGACAGTAACAGTACATTCCTGCAGTGGCCCAAGGGCACCTTGAAGGAGGAGTGACACTGATAGCTGATCTACCAAAGTAATCAGTTCTCTGGAGATGCTGCAGTAAGGATACAGCCAAAGTACCTGGTCCTGTAGGCAAGTCCCCATTATTAGCGGGTTTGTAACACAGACTGAAAATCTTAAACAGAGGAAGCATCAGTGTAGGATATATGGAACAGGACAAGGCAGCTTTCCCTGGATTTTCTATAGTTAGAAAATAGCATATGGGGAGGTGGGGAGGGTCTAGAAACTGAGGCTCCAGGCAGTTTAGCTGGACTTGCAATGTGGATTATGGGAGGCAGAGTGCAAAAACTTGCCTGAAAGGGTTTGCAACCCAGCAATGTAGTTTGGCTTAAATAATTTATGTGGGGGTTTTCTCTCAGTTTTAAAACCTTTAAGTTTGCTAGGTGCCTAAAGCGTTGCAGCTAAGCACCACAGAATGACATAATCATTGTTTCATATTTATTTCAGTACATGGATCTCTTAGGAAGATGATAAATCATAATAATCATCCTATGGAGCTAGCTGCAGCTGGGCACACAGTGGGAAAAGGAAATAAGTTGGTTGAAGTCCACTGCTTTTTAGGAAATAGTGCTATTATACAACCTGGTCTTTTAGTACACAAGGAAATGACAATACTGAAAGACCAGGTATTAACCTATACTAAGCAAAAGGGCCTGCCTGAAACCAGCTTATTCGTAAATAGTAGTGCACGTATACATTATGAATGACATCTATACTTCCCCCTGATGTCAAACACCCCTGTGGCTGTACCAGTCAGAACACTATACTACCGAGTGTCCGAACCCCATAGCACCCGTCTCCAGATAGCGTATATTTAGAAATGAAATCTATTAATTCAGGGTTATTGCAGGATTAGTAAAAACCTCGCTTCCATTTCAGCCATCTACCTAGCATGAAGTTAGTGTGGAAACAACACTGTAGTCTTTCAATATTAAAATCAAAACTAAGCCTTAAAAAATGCAAGATTTTGGCCTCTTCTGTAGAGTTCTAAAAAATGACAACACGGTAGTTAAGTTGGGTTGCAACTAAAATGAGTTTTAACACTGTGGTCTGACCTTCCTGCCTGGAGCCAAACTTTGCTACAACTAAATTAAAAAGGACAGGCTTTAGCCCAGGTTGAAGCCAAAACAAAGTTTGGTTTTGAAAGGAACCCACAAAAGCCATGGAAATCTAAGCTCAAGCTTTCATCCCTCTACCCACATCTCTAACCAGACCAAAGGATTCTGAAGGGAAACAAATTCTTAAGAATATTTTATTCATTTAGCTTAAAATAGGTATCCTTTTGAAAGTGTTTGGACTCTCTCTTTTATGAAGGTCCAGTAATTTGGGGGAAGGAAAAATATTCAAGAGGATGTGGGTGTAGAAATGGGGTTTATCAATCATAACTGCCCATATGTTTGCCAATTATGTTTGCATATTACCATAATTATACTATATAAAAAACCTCTTTCCATTTTACATCAACCACACAGGGAAGTTCAATGTGATGCCTGAAACAGATGTTGAGCATAATATTACCTCTAACTGATAAAATGTCCATTTTCACAGTTTCTTATATCAAACGTTCAAACGATTCAGTTCAAATATGGATGTATTTTAATCTGGTTTTATGATGTTTAGCATATTGCTGCACACTGCCCAAGCACTGCAGTCATTCATAAACAGGATTAACATAGCTGTAGTTTACTCATGGAGATTACAGGACATGTATGAATCCTTGTTGTACTGTCATTCTTCTACCAGAAGTAGCAAGCAAGTCAATTAAATTCAGATCCACAAGATAAATATACATATGATATCCTGTCACTGTAACACTTGAGGGTCACGTATTTCCCTTTGCATCTAGGGATCGGAGTTTCCTTCCATAATTATATCCCACAAGATTAAGGCTGAGCATTTATTTTGCCTGGCCTCATATGACAATTATTTTTTTGACTCACCTCATGCTGGAATGTTGCCTCCACAGACTTGCACTGCATGCTACTCACTAAGGGCCCACATCAAGATTACTTCATTCCCTGTAACTTCAATTTTAATGGACTTGCAGTGGCACAGCCTTGTACAGAGAGTAATTTTGCCTAACTTTACATCAGCTCTTCTCAGAATTGCATTACAGCACCACCTTTGCTGACCATTTCAAAGAAACAGCCCCACAGCAAAGAAATTACTTACGTAGGAACAAACAGCTTTATAAGTAGTGGCTGTAACATATAGGCTGCTCATGAGGTGAGAAGTTTTAATAAAAAGTCTTATTTTTCCAGCTGAAAAAAACCTTAAGGCTAAACTGTTTCCATCCTCCTAATGAAAAAAAAATAGAAATGACTTCTTTTTAAGTTAGAGGAAAGATTGCAATGATAAATCCTGTCTGGAGTTTATACCCAAAAGACTAACTTCTTCTGCACTTCTACTATAGAAGCTGCCAAATAAAGATGGAGACAGGAATTCCTGATTAAAGATCACTGACCACATATCTGCCTATAACAGAAATTTGGCTAATGCTGGCTCCTGATAATCTGCTAATTTCAATGTCATGTAGCCTTCATGTCTGTTGACAAAACGGACACGAAGGATACAGGATCAGACCCTAAAGCGCCACTCCCTACAGCAGTCTGGCTAACTCTGTTCTTAGAGTGCTGTTCCAAAAGGATAGCCGTCCCCATTAAATGCTTCCTAAGTGCATGAGTTATAAAGCCTGCTATATTTTAATGAAAAAAAGAAAAAACCTTTTTCACTAAAAGTAGAAAAAATGAACCCTTTTAGAACCACTAAGTCAATTTTATGTTTGGACTAAATGTACATATACATTGGACTATAATTTTATTGCAATATGCATTTGCAATAACACCTCCCCCCCCACAATCTCCAAACTGTTAGGCTAGCCAACCTCCAAACAGAAAAAATGACATACCCTTGTATGCAATGGCGCTACCAGGTCACTATGCTTATCCAGAACTCCAGAGAAATACAGACAAAAAAATGAAAGTACAACAAGACACACCAATGCAGCTGACAGAATAGAAACCGTTAAAATGACCAAATATACATATGGGACATGAAGAAAGAGGTTGCAAGGTCTTTTCGAACCATACAGCCACCATCTGGCTCTGTCCCCTGCTGTGATACCTCCAACATAATAGAGCCCACTTGGGAAGGGCAGAGAGGAGGGGAGAAGAGGAAAGAGCTCACAGAAACAGCCCATGGACAGCAGGTATCACATTACATTTGCTTTTCTGGAAGGCTATCCTTTCTTTCTCTCCTATTTACAGCATTGCATTGGAGACTCTCCAGCAAGTCCCAGCTGCCACAGGGAGTAAAGTAGAATTAGACAGAAGTCACAGCTCCTCACACATCAAAACAACATGTCTGGCCAAGTGAAAGGAAGTATCAACATCCAAAAAACGGAAAGATTTTCAAGCCCACAGGGAAGTTAAGAACCTAATTCCCACTGAATTTTGATGGGAGTCAGGCTCCTAACTGGGTTTTGTCTTTGAAAACCTCCCCCTTAGCTACTGGCAGAAAATTACAGTTGTCAACAAGTTTTGGTCTCTGATAGTTACTTAGGATTTTAAGTAACTAAATTGGTCTCTACGACATGTCCAACTCAATTTAAAACATGAGGAAAGACGTTTGCCCCCACGTACCTGTGTTTTGTATTCTCCATGTTTTTGTAAACTGGGTATCAGGAGGGATAGACTCTCCTTCTCCTATGGTGACGTCTTCAACAAAGGACATGGAGGGCACATTGATGTTTGGACTCTCGAAATCGTAGTAGGCTCCAATGGCTGCTTGCAAGTTCCTGGAAAGCAAAACAGAATGTAGCTGTAAGTACAGACCAGTTACATCGTTATGGGCTCCTTTTGGTTTATTTTAGCATAAAGGGGCCATCCCATCCACAGACACCGCAGAATGGATGAAGCATAAAGAATACCCTTGGGATAATGCAATGCTCAAGGCCAAAAGTTGTGTCTTAAAGTAGCCAGGTCTGTAACACAGCCTTTTGGGTATGACGTGTCATATACAGAACTGCAGGACTTCCTTTTATTCACTGCTGACAGCATGCTCACCCCAATAAAGAGCCCCAACTTCAAGAAGTTCACAGTCCATTTCAGAAGACAATGTTCTTAAGATAAGTCAGAAGCCAGCAGAAGTTTGCTGTGGTAGACATTTTAGGTCCTCCATGTTGTGGACTCCAAAAAAATCATAACAGATGCTTAATAATTTAAGCCATGTGATCTTTAGAGAGGAAAAACGAACGGTCAAATGATGCAATGAATATTCCCAAGTCCTAACTTGTATGCCAAATTACACCATAACTTGTTTTGTAAACTGTATCTAAATCACTTAACCCTTCCCACATTACCCACCTACAACAGAGCTAAAACATCGGTGACACTATTAGAATTCACAACAGAGTCTTGCAAAACTTTTGGAAGCGAGGCACAGTTACGATGGAGGTTAGATGAAGCCCTGTTAAAGCAGGTGAGGGAAATGGCCATTCATATTCATTCAGAATAGAGGTGCACAGCAGTTGTGGTCCCTTCTAGAGCCCAGCTGAAAGAACAGGACCCATTACCAAAACACGTTGTGGGCGAGACCAGCCAGAAGCTGAATTATTTCAGGTGGAGGCACGTATCGGGGCAGGAGCATCTAGGTTATAGCAGTGAGAAAGCAAAAGCAGAATTCACAAAGGTAAGATGTGCAGCACAACCCTGAGAGAAAACAAAACCCTGAGACAGGTTTGAAACTGCAAACAAAATGCTTCCTGTCTGATTCCTACTCTTCAAGGAAACAGGCCTGTGGGTACACACTTAAGTTAGCTGAAGTGCCGCCAAGAACTATCCAGCTATGAATTTATGCTCCTTATGAAAACCACCTGCAAATCCCCAAACACTGGCTAATAGTTGGGTCGAAAAAAGGTTCCGTCATACCTGTCTAAAACTATCATGAAGGAGGACAGAGGGAACAGATAGCTTTGGTTCAGATCAGGGCTGTCATACTTACCCAGCTAGATCTGGACTGTGGGGTTCCTTGGGGGGGGACAGATCCAGACTGTGGGGGGAGCGCGAGGGCGGGGGGGGGGGGGGTCATAGCATCAGGGAGTCAAGGGGGATTAATGCACCCATTGCTCAACCCCTGCCCCAACATGCTTTTCCCAATGGGTCTCAGTATCCCGGGTTTCAGCAGCCAGACCTACCCCCAAATCCCAGTCCTTCTAAGAGCCCCAAAGGCTAGAGGACACAGCTTCAGAAACTGGATGTTTGACACCCATTTTAGATGCATCTGTTCCCACTTATGAATTGAGACATTCGTAGCTACACTAAACCAATGGGGTTCCTACCAATGCCCAGTTGAACTCGTGCAGAATACTGCTAATGCGTTAGGTGGCACTGAAAGAACATTTTGTAGAAGGATAGGGACGTCAAAGGTCATACGAGTTAAGGGGTTTTCTTATTGTTAGGTTTCACCTTAGTACACAACGGAACTTGATATTAATAGTCACTCGGCAAGATTTTCCCTGTGATACGTAGTTAACAATGAATTTTATACTACAATCCATTATTCAACTCCAGGCATTTTCTGCTTATCAGTGACAGGGCTATATTTAAAACAGCCAGCTCAGTCAAATGCTACGGGAAGGGTGCATGTCACATTAGCCAATAAATGGAGACAAATGCTAGTTTTACGTCACTAGCCGCCTGTTGCTTATACACTGAAGAAGATTTACATAACTTGCAGTGGGGCCGTGCCAAGAGGCTCCTGTTCACTCAACCGATTAACACGATGATCTAGATCTGGAGGTTAGTCTTCACTGAAATTTCTTCACCATGTTACACACTGATTCAACGTGAAAGATATTATGATAACCAGACACAGTATTGCCTACAGCCTTGCCTTTTCCACTCCACAAATACACAAGGGTTAACCTGCAGCCATCCCAAGATGTCTGATCCCAGGGGCCTGATACACAAGGGGCAGCAAAAATCCTCCATCTGCATTAAGACAAAGGACTGATCTTAAAGGGAAATTTCTGCAATTCTTCCAAAGGCAGCCTGCAGCATTTTGGTCTGTCTGCTTGGCTGGTAAATATGCTTCAGGGGGTAGTGGGTTATTTGTGCACCTAGGCCTTCTGCCAATTCGCTTCCCCTCCCCGTGTCATATTTCATCAGCTCGCCTTGCCACTGGGAAATGATTCAGAAAGTGCTGCAGCATTTAGTTAAAAACTAACCCAAGGAGAATGCAGGCTGAACAGCGGACTCGCTGTCCAAGCGTGATCAGGTATCACAAACCCTCCTCCTACCTGCTCTGGCTCCATTCTGCTGAGCAAACAGTTCTAGGGTTGGTTTTTTTGTTTGCTTCCCTTTTTCTGAGGTTTCTCCTTGGGCTCTCCCAGTGGAGAATTAAAGGAATTTTCCAGAACTGAAGAGAAATTGAAAGTAGCAGACTAGAAAGTGGCAGGAGTCACGGTCAGGATGACAAAGCAAATCGTGGACTCAAGTCCGTGCAGAAGAACGTTCTCGTTCCAACACAGAGAAACCTGCTGCGGGGCCATATGGCACCGCCCTGCTGCCACAGTGCCTGGTCCTTTGCAGTCATGCGCTCCACGGTTACACAAGCGGCTACAGAGATCGGACAGTAACACTTCCCTGTTGTCTTTGGCTCCTGGCAAAAACCAAATCACAGTTTCAGCATGATGTTGGGAGAGCACGTCTTGCACTTGCAGATGGACCTGTACACTTCCTGCACTCTCAGCAGCAATTAACATTGGCATTACTAGCTCCTCACACCCAATTCAGTATCAGAGACTTTTACAGGCAAATGCGTACTTAAAAAGACAAAGCAATAAAGCCAAAACTTCATTTCTATTCCTATATGTTTTTGCTGGCCTCAAGTTCAAGCCTGGCTAAACCCTCATCTTTGATTCTTCCTCAGCTCATGTCCCCTTCACCTCCATTTTGCCAAGCCTGGCTATATCACTCTCCTACAAACTCACTTTTCAACTATCTTCCCACAGCTTCTCCTTCCTACATAATACAAGTTCCAACATAAATTAATAATAAAACCTGGAACTGTAAGGTGAATGTCCAACTTTGCCAATGTAATACACAGGACTATGCTGTCATGGATGCTTGGCTAGCTGCGTTTACCCTCTTTCTGGTTTGACTGTTTGCAGACAGCTCCTGTTGTAACAGCCGATCTATTCAGACAGGAAACATCCCAAGAGTCAGGCCAACACAGAATATTCATACGTTAAAATAAGTCACAAGCTATACGCCTTCCTCCCTGCACCAACTCCTTTGCCAGGCAAACCTTAGGCACATTAAAGCAATTTTAGTATACATTCTATAGGTTAAAAAAAAAGTAAGCCTCATTCTGCTCCAAACATGGACTGAGACAGAGGTAATGACTTGCTTAGGGCCAAACTGAGCAAAGAGCAAAGCAGGGAATGGAATATAAATGCCATACTTCATCCTGCTTTAACCATTAGGATCTGCTGGTCTCCCAACAGATTTGGTCTCTGCTACTGCCCTCAACTGACAAAGCAAGTAGTCTCCATAAACACAGAATACAATATTGACAATTTTTTTTGTGTAAAAATACATCTTTTTTAAAATGTATATATGGTTATATGTGTACACACACACACACACACACACACACACACACACACACACACACACACACACACACACACACCCCCCCCTCCTAGTCACTGATCATTGTCTCCTTAACCACCATAGGAACCTACACACCCGTTACAATACATGCACGTGCGGAAAGGTGCTCCCAGAAGTCCAGGAGCCTCCTGATGTACAGGCACATGAAACTCAAGGTGGTAGACTGTGTTAAAATGGCTTTGAATTAACTCCATTCCTACTACCAAAAATCAGTAGCAGAGGACGGTGAGGACGCAGCCAAATCCACCTGGCAGAGGGACCCTTGGCATAGGATCTTTAAAGACCTCCGCCTGCACTGGGGAAATGGACAGCGACAGTGAAGAAAACACTGAGACAACCAGATTGGAAGACAATATTGACAGATACTTCTTACAACTGAGACATCTGGATGTGTGTGTTAGCTCTCTCAAGCCAGATAAAGGGAAAGCTGAATGGGAAACTGCAAACCATCTCACAACTACAGACTTCCAGCTACACTTCTGATCCAATCACCAAGTCAGCTCAGTATGGGGAATGGCCTTTTGTCTGTGGCTGTGTTGAGTACAGTGTGAATATGTATGCAATGGTGTTTTTTCCCCACCTGAAAGAATGGTTTGCTCATTAATACATTTTGCAATTTCTCACAAGGGCACAAGGAGAACTATGATAATATGAATAAAATTTACTTCTTTATCCGAAGTTTGCAAGTGTTAATGTTGGTTTGTAAAGTGCTTTGAAATCCTTTAATGAAAGTACCCTACACAATGCAGAGCAGAACACGTATCAAAATGCTGTTTAACATTAGTGATTCAACTGCATATTAGTTCAGCCACATAGTACATGTAAGTTTTGATATCCTACTGACTACGGCCTTCCCTTATAGCCACCACACCATCTAATTACACCTCACTGAAAAGCATTAAAAAGGTGAAGGATTGACACTTAAGAAAAACAAAGCCACTCAGTAAAACACAGCCTCTTTGCTTCCCAGGTAACCACCTACCCCAGGCCACCATAAACGGTAGTCTTCAGATTTTAAATTGCATGCAGGATGAAGTTTATGCTGAGCAGAAAGCACCCTCAAATGATGTCCTTGTTTCACCTGAGCTGAAATGGGAAATGAAACTCTTTGATCAACAGACTGAGTCACTTAGTTTTGTGGGGCAGCTACAATGCAGAAGACTACAGAGTTGTACTCCTCTCTTCTGGCAATGTTCTACATGGCCTCCCACTTTAACACAATGAAAGGGGAACAGTCTGAAAATCAATATTCATAATTTGCTTGTTCTCAATACTGGTAATTTGGAAGAACATTTGTCACAAAAACAAGTAAATAACCCCCCCCATCCCTCCCACATACACCAAATGGTGACGCAAGAATAAACTAAGAGCTACAGCACAGAGCACGAGCTGTTAAAACAATCAACCT